CGGTTCACCTGCTATATTGGCCTTAATCCGGACGTTGTGAGCGCGGATTAAGCGTGGCTAGGTCAAAAGGCAAAAACGATCGGATTCAATGCTTTTATTATGGCGACTGAAGCTGAGTAGGGCGATGCCAAATGCAACAGAAAACAAATGAAAAGAAACCAGGCGACAAGGCCCGAAAAACTAAACCTCGCCTCCACTAAGCTGGAAGGCTTGCCTGCGAGAGAGCCAACGTTTTCCGGCAATATGCCGAGCCGTTCCATCGGTGATGCTGGCATTCAACCTAGCTGATTCACAGGTTCTGCCACCCACGCCACCGCATCCTGTGTGGGTCCTGCGCTGATGCCATGAAGCCATCGCTGTACAGAACTAGGTCAAAGCCTGTCGCTGCGCAATTCGAGTCAGGAGGTGGCGTCACCCCACTGAAAGCGTTCCCTGCCATAGAAGTGATGAGTAAGCCTTCTATGGACCGCCTTACCCTGGCTAGTTGGCTTAATATTGAGCTGCTGCGTAATGGTGAGATGATATGCGTGCCGGTGTGTAACTCGGCTAGCCACAATCGTCCGGAAGCAAGCAGATCCAGGCAGAAATTCGGGCGGAGTTTGCCACAACTTCAAGCATTCTCGTTGGTATAATAGTATTATCAAATATATAGGCAAATACAAAAACCGGTCGGGATCGCCTTGAAGCCTGGATATTCGTCTGAAAAACAATACAAATTGAAGAGGAGCGTTTTTAGAAAACCCCCACTTGAGTGAGATAAAGTCCAACGACCGAAAGATCGGGGATGGCCTGTCACAAGCATCCGCGAGTACCAGATGTAGGGAAACAGACACTAGTCGCTTCACCGACGCGCCTCCCTAACAGCCTTCGCAACAACAAAAAACTATCACTAAAGGACCGAAACAAAATCAAACCTGATACTAACTGCTGAAGCTTCAGCATTGGTGGGCTCTTTTCTCCACGGCGTCTCCCCGGCGAGTGTTTTCAACATTGAGCGGCGTCTATTTAGACTGTGTCCAAGTGAAACTTCCGGCCCAACACTTCCTCGGCCCCGGGAAAGCCTCCTCTCCCCGTTATCTTCTTCCCACAGAGGCACTCTTCAAAGATCGCTTCAAAGATCGAAAAGGCCGTCTGCTGACTACAGATGAGACGGTGGTGGAAGAGGAGATAAGCGCGTAAACTACGCTGGTTTCACTAATTCTACGCTTTTTCATTTTCAATATATCCACTGTACCTGACTATTAATGTGCACCCTTCTCCTCCCTCCCGCTCTGCCACCGAAAATCCCATTGTTGATCAAGTCACGAAACCAAAGACACTACGATTCTCTGTGAATGATACCTGCCAAGCTCATTTCTGATGGACATCCTTGTGTAGCCTAACACTTGCGGCTCACATCAACTGATTTTGTTTTGTCAACTGAAGTGAACACCTAAGTAATGTTTTCAGGGAAACGAAGCTGCGCTATTTCACTCCTGCGGATCATTGTTAGGTCTGCATTGTTCGAGTGCCGAAACTCTAACTATCATTAGAACCTTTCTAGTTACACGCGCCGAAGGTAATGCTCTTCTTCAGCATACAGCAAAATGGAAATACAGAAGCCGGGACAAAAAAGGAGTCTCTTTGTCATGGCGGTACCATCAACTTTGCTGTCGCCACAAGAGATGCCGCCGATTAAAGGAGTTATATGGGAGTTATTCCTTGATGTCCCCGTAAGCAGAATCAGCCTCTGCTATCACTGCCTCCACCGCTCCAAGAATATAACATCAATCTCTCATCACGTCGGAGCTCAGGCCTGACTGCTCGTCGCCGACGAGCACACCTGCCGACCTAACTCACGCCCTCACCTCTCTCCATTCGTCACCCTCCCGCCCATCCCTATTTTGCGATTCGCGAGTGAATCCGCCTCAAGAAGACTCCTACCATAATCGCTCCATCCATAAAGCTAACTACATAAATGTTACTTCAATCTGACACTCCACACTTGCCCTTCTTCGTGACATGCGTTCGACTTAGGGACATCTAGCCGGGGACGATGCAAAATCGCTTCCAACAGCGTTCCAGAGAGTCCGCCAATCTCTATGGTTCTCGACAGAAACGCGTTGAACTCGTACCCGGGCACCATGTGTACATAGGAAATACATCGGAAGCCGTCTGTTTGTAGACGAGACCCTTATGCATAATTTTTGATAGGGTAGCATGTTCTCTTCCAGACGCAGTCGGGCTCATTCGGATTGGTTTTGGAAAAGTGTAATTAAACCTGTTCTGAATACGAATGAGAGCGACTCTTTTTTGTCCCCACCCTGTATATTTTAGCTGCCTCATATCAAAACAGGAACCAATATGATCAAAAGATGGAACAAGTACCCATAATGAGGAGCAGATTCGAAAGGATCCGAAGGACTCCGCCATGAATCTAACTGACCAAGAAATAAATTCAAAGTTGTCCGTTACTCGAAGGCAGACAGCAATGTCAACAAGGTTAATGTGAGATTAGTTTGAAGGCGATTGACAGAAGCGACTCAGATCTGTAGACTGACACGAGTCTCAGCTCAGTCGGACTATCACTAAAACTAGTATGGGCGGGAAGTTAAACAGTCTCTGTCGGTTTGCATTCAGTACTAGAGCGCGGCACGGAATTACAGCGATGACAAACACACTGCTGATGACTGTAATTCCAGAGTACATGAAAAGTTTTTCTCGGATCGATCCAACAATCAAAACGAGCACCATCACTGAACAGAATCGCAATGAACTTGTTCTCGCCAATTCTTGTTAGCCTATAATTGACACCTGCTGATGAGCTGCTGATGAGCTTTCCGGATTCATCCGTCACAAACCGCTCATTAGGTCCAGTTTTTGACAACGTTAAACTGCCGGTTCCGTGAGTCCGATCTCTCATGATTGGCTGTGAAATGTGGCTCGGCGTTTTCCTAACTCTTCCTTGAATATCATCCCTCTTCGAATAAATATGTACTCAGTTGTGCGCTAAGAGTACCACATTCTCAACAGGAGACCGGACCTAATGGCACGTCCAAGCATTTGAGATATCGTCTGAAGGATGTGTGGTGGTAGCGCTCCATCTAGGATTGGTGCTCATTAGTGTATACAAAGACCTACAAATATTACCGCAGTGGCTTCTGCACTTTGCTCGCTCAGCACTTTCTGCAACTGCTGAGGTAAATCCTATTAAATGATACCGTAAGATTGAAAGGACACTTTTGTACTGCTTGCTGTCGCAAAGGCGTAAGTCGCTGGTATGTTGACTTCACAAACTTTCAACCAGGTCCATTTCTGATTACTCGAACGGCCATAGCTTGAATGTTCTTCAACAAATCCACCGCTTTTTGTCAATCCCTTCTGCTACTGTACAGCTATCCAAACAGGCAGCACTGGAGGTGATCTTCCACCATAAAGGTGAAATACATACCTCATTTCTATTAAGAAATTATGCGCACAATTCGTCATCGCAGTATCGTGATACCCTAATTTCGTGACGCTGTGGCGTCACTTTGCTGACAGCGACATTTTCTCGGCCGGCTTTTGTAGAATATCAGGTTGACTCTTCAGACATAGAAGGTTTTATTTGAACAAAACGATCAGCAGAAACGATAAAGGCTGATATTTCAGTGCTAAGTCACGATCATCTCGCCGCTGTGAGTGGCCTGGTACCAGCGTCCAGGGGACACTAAACACCAAGCAGCTTCTTTTTTGCAAAGAAAAAATATAGACAGAATACTCTTGATGACAGTATCGATAGCCGCCTAAGTGTTCTTGCGTCTGCAAACGTGGTTGTGCCTTCAATTGGCCAAAACGGCTGATATCACACGGCTGCAGTCGGGAAAATACGGTGGAGTAGAGGTCTCAATATTCTCCCTTTCAATCGCCATAATACCCCCTTATTGAGATCGACTTTTGCCTTTAAGTCATTTAACGCGGCGCCGCAATGAAATAGGGACCACGAAATCTGGAAAAAAAGTTATCAATCCATTCACAATGCAGTGGACGATGATGAATACGCGGAAATTGGAATTTGTCCGCAACACTTCTGGATTGGAAATCTCGCTGCTAGCGACTCAGTTCGCCCAAGCCACCGAGTGAACCACTGGGCGTGCTTTCAGGGTGAAGTGCTCCGGAGGTCCTGCTCACAAGGGAAGGATGGTAGATCGAAGTGGCCGTTTGAAATGAAATGTATACCATCTGATGCGTCTCCAGACGCTGATTCCAAATCTTCCTTCAAATCTGCGAAACGACTCTCCGAACGGAGTTATGAAACGTAATAGCTCAGTGGTGATGGTCCGGGGTGGCAGGTAAAAGCTCATAGGATCGGTTCCTTTGCAAGTTGGTTGTTTTGCTTTTGTCTCCAGAAGTGTTGCGGAAAAAAGCAAAGCAACAAACTTGCAGGAACCGATCCTACAGCTGTCACCTGCCCCCCCTGACGCATGCACCACTGAAGCTATTACGCTCATAACTCCACTCGCAGAGTCGCAGACATCTCTTGTATACGGCCACTTCGAGCTACCATCTCTTCTTTGTCAGCAACACTGCACCTTTCGCCGTGAACGTCACATAATCGCTTCCTTTGCAGCCAAGGTATTGTTTCGATGAGGCCTCAGGTTCTTCCCCGGTACGATAATTCCTATTCGTAATCGCCTTCTCTTAATCTTCTTACACTGCAATTACCTAACGCACACAAAAAACCAGTACGTCAGTCGACCGACTGGTAGTAATACAAGAAAACTGCTTACTCTCAATGTGACGCCGCTGGTGTTGGGCAGTCAAAAAGCCACAGTATCAGAATAAAGTTTATTTACTTCAAGTATTGCTCAAAGGAAAAAGAGACACAAGCGAAAGACAAGAACCAAGATGATTTACACTATGCACATTCTTATGACCATCTCACTCAAGGCATATGGTGCAAACACTTAAGACAGGCGGCTTGAGCTAGAATCGACGTAGCAATGAGCCACATGGCGACCGAGGCAGGGTTTGTGCTACATTCACTTGTGCCAGGCGTTTGTATCGCACCAGCGTTCTAAATACACATCAGTTTAAAATGGTTCCCATGAAGGGAGATAGAAGGAAAGGAACAAGAGTGTGAACAGGAATATCGGTGGTAAATTTGGCGAAAGGTTGACAGGAATCCATGGAATAGCTTCACCTAGCACTTCTTGGAAGAAACGGTGTGTCGAGTGATTGGATGGGTAATCCGAGCGTCATATTTAAGTAAGTGTGATGCGCTGCGCGTCGCACAAGGGCTTGATCAAAGCCTACCACTTCTGAGAACAAGTGCCGCTCTTCATGAGAGTGAAGTTTGAAGTGTTCAAAATAGCTACAATTTACTGCTACCGTAGTGAGTTGATGCTACACCTAGAAACCTTGTGCTTGCGAAATTTTCGGGAGGGATTGGAAGAGTGTCGCGATATTGAGATCCAACGTCACCATTGAGATTACCAAACACTCATTATCAGGATGACAGGGTAAGGGGAGTGGAGAAGAGACGAGGGTCGTATTCATAGCAGAGGTGGAGAGAGGGGGAGGGTGGGGCATGTTGGTTGGAATTTCCTCAACACGCGACTTCCACTATTCTGCACTTGACTACCTTTACTACTGTTGGAGACTGAACTCACCATTAACGTAGTCCATGATTTGCTTTGTACTCGCAGGTTTGTCCTTGTCGAGAACAACGAAAGCAACTGGCCTTAAAAATTTTATTTAGAATTTCTGACAAGCTGCTCGTGTCACTTGATGGAAAGACAGAAAAAAATGAAAGTTCAGTCAACAGAAGCAGCGCTACAAGCTCAGAAATACATGAATTCTTGATCAGGTTCTGTATCGCATATCGTACACAAAGGTCCTGGATACCTCGCGAAAGCGAGCAGCTGAAACGTGGAGACCTCCAACCCTTGTGTTGCTGGTCGACCAAACCCAACGTAGGGATCTGTTTAAAGGTAAGCCCCGGGCACAATATAGTGTATAAGAACGCTTCGTTGTGTTAGTTGAGCCTATCGCGTCTGTGCGTAATGAACTAAAAGTAGAAAGGAAACCAAGCGAAACCATCAAGGACCCAAACTTCGAAAAATTCAAGTAAGGTCGAATTTAGTACAACGGAGAAGGATCGACCAGCGAGGCAAAACGCGAAAGAGATCACGCCGTATGAGAGAGTGCGCCGATCTCTGCACCAATCGCGGTGGGTGGGTAGCGTTGCGAAGATTCGAACCATAACGATTAGCACCCTAATTGCGTATTTTCTGCGACGAAACTGGCACGATCACTGTAGGTAAGGATCCAGCGACTTTATTCGTGACGCGGTTACTATTCTTGAGCCTAATCCCGGGATTGGTCCAACTAGAGGAAGGATACCGCGAGGGAAATCGTGGGATCAGTACCTACATAAATTATGTTAGCTTCTTCGCAGAAATTGCGTGATCAGGGCGCTAATCCTTACGGGCTTGCAACCACCAATCCCCGTTGCAACGCTCCCCTCCCACCGCGATTGATGTAGAGCTAGCGTGCTCTCTTAAATGGCAGCTCCATCGCGTGTTTTGTCTTCTTTGACCGCCCTGTCTCGTCGTCTACCACACCTGATCTAACTGAAGATTAAGGCTTTGATTTCAGCGTTTCTGATGATTGCTTGCCTTTCCGCATCTCAGCTATCACAACGAAGCGCTCTTATGCACCAGTTTTATCACAGAGCTCGCCCATAAAAACTTTCGCTTCAGACCCTGCGCACATCTTCGTACCACCTCGTAATCTCGATCTCTATTACCCATTCCGGCTTTTAGAGTTTCCCGTATGCTTCCACGATGTTTAAAATGCTGAACAGAAGATTTTAGTAGATCGTTGTTAATTTGGCCGGTCTCAATTCACCGCTTTCCACAGGCGTATAGGTAGAGAAATAGATGCTAGCCATATACAAAGAACAAATAAGGAAACGCTGGGCAATCGATCACAGGAATGGCAACGATTAAAGTTGTCCCCTAATTGTTAGGCAATGAATGTTAAGAGAAAAAGAGGACACCTTTCGCCAGCTTCATGATCGGAAATGGCGACGACAGCCGCTTCAGCGACCCTAGGATGAGTGATTAAGAGTGCTTCCAATTCCGAGGGATAACCTGTAAACAGAAAGTAAGAATGATATCTAAAGAGGGTATATAAGTGTGAAAAAATACATGAAATTTTTATGAAAGATCAAAGAAGAGAAGAAGAAGGAGTGAATCTTGCTCGATACTGATTTCCTTGTTCGGAGGGTTGATTGATGTTTTCTAAAAATTTGATACCGCTGCACAGGGTATTCCATAAGTACTGCGACACATTTCGAGCTTCAATTGTGTGGATGTCTGTAGTCTTTTCCCCAATGTTGGCATACCTTCGCTTTCTATACCCTCTTGTGAATAACCTTGCCAAAGTGCACGGTTTACCATTCGTTGGACACTCATGGCGCAGCTAAACCTCATTGGAGGCCGTAATCCTCCATCAATCTTGTTTGGACGTCCCCTGATGAACATCGCGCTTCTTCGGGTTTCTAACCGTTCCGTCGCCTACAGGGCTGAAGGGAAGACCGATCAAAATAAACTTTGTTGCGATGCCTCACAATTTGTGACATTTTGATCTCAGGAGAAACTTGAAGAAGCGAAACAACTGAAATACCCGGGCTGGCTCGAGAAGGTGATCAGAACGCTGGAGTTTCTAAACACAGCCATGTTGAGAGTGGCCCGAAACAAATGCCCACAGCCCATTATAAGCTGCATAAGCATCACTGCTAGACCCACCGGGAGGAGCAAGGCAGAAAAAAAGTGTTGAAAGAGCCCATGTCGAGGGACGAAAATGGCGAAAGCGCGGGCACCGTCTTCATAGACGTGAAAATTCCTCACATGTAGCGAAGCTACAATCTTCAAACTCTGATTATGCCCGTATTAAGTCTCGAGGAAGTCAGTGAGAGTGAAAGGAATATTCGCCACAGTCAAGGATCTCAGTCACCGGTCGCTCACCACAACTCTCTGTTGAAAAGCGAATAAAACTCGATACAGACCTAGCTACCAAATCTTTCAATACACCTTCTGTTACTATGAGTCTTGATTTTCCGAAGAGGAATAACATCCGTTTCCAAAGAGAACCAACTTCTGTAGAAGGGGGAAAATTGCCTAGGACCGGTCTCATGATACTTTTCCCCATTTCGCATCCTCAAACAAATGACCCCAATATCCCTCTATTTCAGCCTGCTGGACCGTCCTATTGGGCTAAATTGGGGGGAAAGAGCCTGCACTAAACAATGCATCCAAATGGGGGACATGAAGCCATTTCTACAGAGTTTCGAAGAAGACGCCTCAGGATGCCATGGGGGCCACACTAGAGTTTTGAAGGAAATGGGAGCCATACTCACAGCGACAGATGGACTCATCGAATGAATGTCATTCATTTCAATGACTGACTAAGAATCACGTGTGACCACTTGAAGATACGTCCAGTTCAAGAAACTTTACAACTTAAGAAATGTGTGCATATTTGTATGGTTTGGGATATACCTATAAATTTTGAGAAAACGTCAGTACTTCACCTAGGAAGAGCCAGAATCACACCATATTTTGACTTATTTTTATTTACTTATGCATTCAATGGTGCGCTACAACAGGGCAGAAAGTGTTATAGTCCGGTACAAGTATGTTCAGACGAAAAACAACAAACAAACAATCGCTAAGCTCGTATAACAGCTGAAAAAAGGAAAAAAAAGGAGTCGCGCTTCCAGCATCCCAGGCCTGCCGTACAGAAAAAAGGACGACCCAAGAAGGTCAGCACAGAACTAATAGCTGCCATCTGTGTAAGAGGGTCTCATGTAGGCAGTGACTACCTACAGATAGTTGTTTGACTTAATAAAGAATGACGGCCATAGATGCAGGTCAGTCGGCAACCGCAAACCAACACGAAGTTCCGGGCGAGGCCAAAGCAGTGCCTTACTACTCTACTCTAAACACGGAAGGAAGGCCGCAGGGCCGTAGAACCAGACCCAAGTGTTTGCTCGAAGCATAGCTTGTTGACTCGCACTGCGAAGAATTTTTTGAAAGACTTATCTCAAATCATAATCGACCCCGCTTACTTTTTGAATATATGGCAGTACAAGGTAATTCGGCCGCCAAATAAGCAGTAGCGATAAAGAAAGTGCATGAAGCCTGGGAAGGTAGAAGTGCTCCATATAAGCTGTGTAGTACCAGTTGTTGTGCGACAGTCAGATTGTAAGTAACTTCACCGTAGCTCACAAATGAAATATCGAACGGACCGATTATTCACTGGTTCTACACAGTAGGACTGCACCCGCACTACTTCAAGAGGAGCAACGTGCGATCCAGCCACCCGTCCGGCATATTGTGCGGGCCTAATCTAAACTAAGGAAGAAAAACGGACAAACCATCATCAACTCCCTCAAACATTTGGTCATCAGTATTTCTATTTTCAAATTCAGCAGATTGATTGTCTATTCAATTTTTCTTCTGAAAATTTTGGCGATGGATGCTACTAGGAAGTCACCTGGAAGATGCTGAGCCATCTTACTGAACGAAGCAGAAACCGTTGAAGAATACGGCATAGTTTTTGAGACATAGATCCTTGCATGATAGTATGCTTGAAGCCACTTGACCGTGCACTGCTGGGTCGAAACACCCCAGTACTTCTGAGGTCTCAGTACTGCATCATTTTTTCAGATACGAAATAACAAAGTTACAGTCATTCTCCGACTCGCCTCAAATCAAGGGTTTCAGATTTAAGCAATCTCAAAACGTTCCCTATAGCTATTATAGGTACCCGTCGTAAAACGAAGATGGGAACATGCATGAAAAAGAGCAATCTGTGGAGTTTGCTGTATCGCTCGTCAAACCTTCTGATATGTCCTCTTGTTGTCAGGCAGGATTCCATAATGGGCGGAACAGTAACTCCACAAGTGGTAGGACAAGAAGCCTTGCAGAGTCGAAGTAATGTTTTGTTGATCTTTGCTACTGAGAGGTCCCGATACGAATAGGTACAAACTGCAAGCCAACTTGGTGACTTTACAACATAATCCGTGAGCTTGAGGTTATCATTGATCATCACCGCACAAGTTTCTTATGGGTTGCAGGTTTTCTACAAGTACATTATATGACGCTCATAATAAGAGATTAGCACCTCGCACGTCAAACTGGTAATACTGAAGATTGTCGGAGGTTCACAGCAGCCCCACATGTAGCCGCTCGTCAGTTTCAATTATCCGGATTTTTTGAAGCAGATTGAACGTGTTTTTGGTTAGAGGATGGTAACAGCATAAAGCCTTAATATCATCGCGTACATTTGAACCTTGATCGTTCGGGGACGTTCTGAATAGCAAGATTCCATCCGCTATAGATGAGAACATACGGAACGGTGGATAAAGAAGTCCTTGAGGTACAGCGGCACCGCTTACGCCACCAGCTTTTCGACAAATATCGCCAACCCTTTGCGTCATATGTCGCTGGCCAGGAGGACTTAAACCATTTCAAAAGCGACCCGCTGTATACCCATGAAATTTCAACTTCAGCAGCAAACTGTCGAATGACAGACCGATCGAAAAGCCTTAGATGAGGGTGAGCCGGGCGACTGCATTGTACCAAGCTCAATAGCTCACCTTCTGTTTAGGGCGCAGGAAAAAGGGACCAGTAAGATGCGTTCTAGAAGGGTCAAAGAGGTTGACGGCTTCTTTGACGAATCCATGTGCTTCAGTTGGGATGCTTTGCATTTTGGAGCCAAGTTGTGATCCTAAACTCTTAGACTACTTCCATAATTGGCAGTGCTGGCGAGTAAGGCTAATGCGGCGAAAGTTGTAGAGCAAGGGCGACTTTTCAGTTATTCTAGGAATGCAGCAAAGATAGCTTCTCTCCAAAGAGCCGGTCCCGCGCCTAGGGCAATCGAATGTTGAAGACGTGAGCTTAGGCTGACCCATGAGGTAGCACACCTTTCATAAATTCGTTTTGTGGTAACTGCCGTCGTAACATTCAATGAGACGGTTTAAGGCGATTTCAAGACTTCCAAGACGTCGTTGGGGTGAAGAAGACCCGGAGGAAGTCTGGGAAGTACGGTCCGACGTCTGTAGCTTGAACTACGTCAGTTCGTTCTATCTGAGAAACAATCGCTAAGCAAATGATGCCCCCAGGGCATTAGCTTTTTCTTGTCTTTCAAACTTGTCTCTCGATCAACACCTCTTTTGAGGATACTCTTTAATTATTTCCGAAGCTCCGGTGAAGCCATTCCCGTTTTGTGTCCTTGCCAGCTCAGCATCTGTGTAGTCAGGAGGTTCATTCATTAGGCCATCGTGTCTTCGTTGACCTCTGTTCCTCGGCAACTGGAGGGATTTTGTTCGAAATGGGGCAGGAGGCGTGTACGCAGTATAATGACGATTAACGAGTGTTTATCAACTTCCAAGAGGCGCAGCCGGTTGGTACGAGTAGCAGGTTAACAACAACGCTTATGTGCATTCATATTCACAATTGTCGAGGATCGCACATCTCTGGTTACAGAACCAGATGTTAGCTATTGACACCACTGGGTTGCGGCGCACAGTCGGGAGGCGAACCATGATAGCCATATTTACGATGTTCTCTTACTTCTTTAAATCAAAGGATCTCTTGACAAAATTGTGCAATAAGATGAGCTCTGGCTTGATAAACTACACGACATTATACCACTCGGAATTCGAATAGGAGAAAGCTACCACAGAACAAAAGCAGCCTCCATCAAGCAAGCTTCTTAGCTGTTTTTGATGAGTTGATCAAACTGATTCCTACGGACGAGTGCTGCACCAGGGTATTGACCAATGTCGCTTCGATACAACTTTGAGAGTTTAGGCCGAAGCATGTGTCAAATACGCAGAATTCTCTATAATTGTGTTAACCCTTCTCTATGGCTGGTAGCTTTCAGTTGTTTAGTACAAATCAACGACTCATTGTTTTTCAAGTTTATTTGGAAGGACTTTCCAGCTGGATTCATGTTGTAGATCGCAAGACCATCATTTTGTCATATTTGCCGCCTTACAGTTGCACTTTCGAAGCACGGTCCTCCTACTTCTAAATCGGAGCTCCGAAAGTAATTCCCTCTTGGAAGTCAGTTTTTGAGATGAAGATGTTATCGAGGCAACAAGACTTACTGCTAGCATCAGTGGACTTACTGTGGATGGTATCGCACCCCACAATCGTCTTTTTCAGCACGCACTGCACTCACACACCAATCTTGTTACTGTTATGGTCCAAGCTACCCTCATGGCGCTGCATCAAACTTGTCGATTGTAATCAGAATTGCACCAATATTATGTTTCACCTGAAGTAATGCTCGACGTTATATTCTTAGTTTGCCTTTTCAAACCACCTTCGCGAAAGTATGTTTCCTGAGGAACACCTACGATTTGGCCAATTTCGCTGTGAACCATCGCTTCGACAATCTTGAATGGACAAGACGTATTTCTGTAAGAGGGTTTCGCTGGGTGCTCAATTCTCTCACCTGTTTTGCCATTTTTTTTTTTTTTTTTTTTTTTTCGTCTATTGAGTGGCCCCCCGCTCTTATGATATAAATCTGTCCCCAACCTTTTCTGGCCTCATATGTATAATGCGGCCCATATCAACTGTTTAACCATTACATCATGTTTTCCCTTCAACTTCGCAGTCGTAGCTCTGCAACAGTTTCTTTCGGCTCAATCAATTCTTCTCGACCAGTTTCGCAATATAGATGATCCATTTTCTAGGCTCCTTCTTCTGGGGACGAACATGGAGATTCAAAGGGTAATTCCAAAACACGCGATCGTTCGTACCACTTTCAGCAATTAGCTGCCTTCGGAGCAAATCCTCACTAGCTTATCTTCTAGCAAGGTCCTCTTGGCAATGATAGATCTGAAAAAACTTCGATTATTTGGAAGAATGATCTATATTCTCATTTGTGGTTTGCATTACAAACTTCGAACCGGATTCATTGTGCTTGCAACAAAGATCTGTCTGATATTCTCTGTCATACCAATTGTTAATAGCCAGAGCAGTGTTGCCTGCTGAAATACGTTTTTTGTTGAAACGTTGCAATTCGAACTGGAGGAGTCAAAGACTTAACTTGAAATTTGAAAAACGGCGAACCTGTTTTCTCCTGTTGCTGGTTTGGAGCACGCTGAAAATGGTTTTTGAGCAGGCTCGCAAAGTGATACAATGACGCAGCGTATACAGTTTTGCTACAGAGGAGCGGAAATGTGAGAGTGCTAACATCGTTGGCCGTCAATGTGAATGCCGCTCGTATCCTCCCACACCGTTTATATAGCTCGTTCCAGTAACGAGGGCGTACTATGCATCACGCGAATTCTATAAACATCATTTGCCTTCACCAGCCCATCCAATAAGTTTATTTATATATTGAAATTGAAAGCGGCAATTAACGATTGTTTGCCTGAATGCGAGGGTTGGGAAGGCTGAATTATCCTCTTATTATACGATAGAAACAATATTTGTTGAGACAGCAACTTATTAGATAGAAACAATATTTGTTGAGACAGCAACTGCTCAGAAGTTCATACCGGGGTCGTGAATGCTATTTCTAGAACGTGCTCTACCATTCTTCACTCGAACAGGGAAGGTTTGTCTCGATAATGTTAAGCGAATGTGCATGATCTCCTATGATCACTACATCCAAGAAATGGGAATGTGCACTGTTTCAAGTCGTACTTGCGAGGCTGTGGACCAATAATTCTTGCTCCAAATTTTTACCAACTGCAGAACTTTTTATGGTCTATGGCATTATTCATAGGAGTGAAGGAATTTTGTAATCGTCATACTTGTTTCCCTCCAACAAGGAACCACGTAGATAGCCAGCTTGATGCCACAACGCTGTAGTGTCTTGTATGTTAGTAGGATTTCTGAAAATTCTGAAAAGATGACACATAGATATTTCGCTTTTCCGTGGTCGTCCTTCTGGTAGCACCGTGCTTCCTTACTTGTCTTCGATATCTTGAAGATGATTCTATCGTATGAGTCGGTGATGGAGCAGAAGTAACTATTTGACACATACGGTGGATGCCAGAAGAGTTCACCTAAAACAATTTTATAATTCTTCGACCATGTTTGAACATTGACATTGTATGTCTCCGAGTGTTTTCTGATCCTCGAGCTAGATGATATTCGGAAAAACTGAAATCTCCACATTATCATTGAGTCCTTAATGCGCGAATAACCTTTTCAGCTTATACTACGGACCATCACTGTATGGTATGTACTATACCCTTAAAGTTACCGTGTCCCTTAAAGAGCATAGTAGCTCCGAAAACTTTGGCTACACCAACGTCCTAATTGCTTACAGCTGGCACAACACACGCTGCCATTCTCTCTTTTTTCAATTGCAGAACTATTTTGCATTTTTTCCATATTAAACAATGGAACAATACGAAATGGAGAATGTATGCTGTTAGACAATTATGATGTTTCTTCATCCATGCTATGTGATAGTTGAATTGGTATTTTTGTAGTTTAAAAAGATGAGAAATATTGTAGGGAAATCCGAAAGACGAATGCACTGGCA